GGTGACCATCTATATTAGGGTTGATTATCTCCATTTACCATGAACAAGTTGATTCCTCACGGCTGTACAGTGCAGATTATAAAATAATCGATCAACTCACACGAACGGTCATGCGGAAAACATTCTGCAGCTATACCCTGTTTAGCCGCGTTTGCTACAAGAATTTTGATTGGCTTAATAACCGAAAGACATATATTATGCACGAATCAGATTGATCGTTATGTTACGCTGTTAGAGAGCGTGCTTAAGTTTTTAATTTTTGTTTTTTGGTTGTTTTTGGTATTATTTCATCGTTACAATTGGGGGATATGATTTTTGCGTACACGATACGTAAGATGTGTTGCAGTTTTGCGTGAAGATGAAATTAACTGCGTAAAAAACGCGAAAAAACGGCGTTAACGCGAACCTAGACTTAGTGATTGTTAAAATTAGATTGTAAGTATTGTTTTGCCATGCATGTACATGAATGTTTTATTTGTTATTTGCTTTATTGGACTTATATCTCGATGTACATTACCAAGAGACCAATAAACTTATATATATATAAATATTTTTTACATTTTTGAAATGATTTCCAACAGACTTGGGCCAGTGTCATTCTCAGGTATTTCTTCACTCCATTTCTATTTGTCTTACCTTTTGGTTGGCACTGGCCCACATCTGTCCAGTTATAACCAACATATATGCTCTTGAGAGCGTCATGTTGTATAGAATGTCATGTATGTTTTTCAAAATAGTAATAAATATCTGAATCTGAATGAATGAAACATCTATCTGAACCTCATTGGAACAACTTGTTTAGTCTCTCAATATTGTAATTGTACAAAGGAAAGTTTGATTCATTTAAAAAAGTATCATGTTAATTGAACTTTACTTAAAATTCTATCTATTTTGGTTTTTTTTTAAATTTTTTTAATACTATTTGTTAAATAAACCAAATTTTCCTTTGTATAACTATAATATTGAGAGCTCTAAGAAAATGTTCTTTATGCTATTTTGTTCCAACAAGGTTCGGAAAGATATTTTATTTCATTCTCAAGAATTGGTAGAAATGAACAAAAATAATTTTTGCACTTAAATTTTTGTCAATCATTCAACATTACATAAAGGAATGTTCTTTTACAGAATGTTTTCAATAATTGGTTTAAGAGAAAAACAATGTTGAACTCAGTTCGCCATATCAATACCAATCCTTTAGTCAGTTAGTAGAAACTCATTAATAACATCCTTAGTTATTTTCTTAGAGAAATCTCTATTTTCGAATGCCCCGATTTGTAAGTAATATAAAGAAAACAGCAAAAAAATATTCCAAAATCTCAGCTACATTTGGGTTCAAATCTGAAAGAAAAGTATTTTTTGTGGAAAACTATAATGGTTCATTCAGTGTTGTAGGATTTTTCTGTCACTCGAAAAGTGGCAATCGACTTGTGTTTTTACACTCACCAATGAAAACTTACACTTGCCACAGTGTTACCAATGATAAATTATATGTATACTAACAGTTTTCTTGTCAATAAAACTATTTAAAAAGAAAGTAATATGTTTATGAAAGTACTAAAAATTGTTCTATAATATTCAACAATGGCAAATTTCATGTTTTTTTATATTAGACAATGTGGCAAGGCACCTCAATTTTACACTTGACTCTAAATATTTACATCCGCCTGGGGCTACTGTCGGAGTGGATATGATCCACACTGTCATTTGATTGCTTAATTATCAATTTCGACACTTGCAGTACAGTTGCACTCATTCAATTGAAATAGGTACTTTGCATTGATACATATGTTATATACAGTATAATAAAACAATATTATTCACTTTAGAAATTTAATAAATTAGAATTATACTAAGAGCATACTGCTTAAAAAAGACATTAATCAATCATTATCATTAGCATATATCCCGTCCCTAGAATGAATGCAAATTTAAACCACTAAATAAAAAATAAGGGAGATAACCTCTACTTTAAAAATAAGGTATGAAATTTGGCTGATAGACTCAAGTATAGAACATAGAGTACGATCCAAAAAATGTAACGCATACATAATGCCTAATTCAATTCAGTTCTAATTGTTCTTTTGAACTTAATTGCTGAACAACTGTCTATCAACCTTTAAGCAGAAACAATAAAAATCTTGACAATTGAAATTAAACATTCTTGAACATTCAAATGATATCATGTCTCCCAAGACCATCCTGAAATATGATTGGCCAATGGAAGTCATATGACCCTGGGAAAATGTTTGACTGGTGGAAGTCACACAACCATTGCTTCATGATATGTTTGGTCCAGTTTGATAATGTGAAATTGGTCTTGGGTATTGTTTAATAAGTAACTAAGTCAGGATATAATAAATCAATAAAACTTATCAGTTCATAAAATTTCTCTATACAAGGTAAAATTCCTCATGGTATAGAAACTTCCCTCTAAATCTTCAAAAGAAAAACATGAAAGTGCCGTTGGTGTTGTTTTAACCATTGATAACTGTATATCTGAAAACTTGTAATTTCACTCTTCATCCATTTTGTAGGACATTCTTATTGATAGCAGATGTCAATACTTTTTCCATGAAAATCATTTATTTATCTGTAAGGGACAATATGTACTGTAAATGGTAACAAGAGCCACTTCCCTCATAGATAAGTACCTTTATAATGCAACTACTTGTGGTGCATCTAAGAATCATATGAAGTCAACATCTGAAGGAATAGCAAACATTATTCAATGAAAAGAAAACATAATTTGAAATTATGAACAGAGCAGCACTGGTTTTGTTCCTAGGAGTATTCTTTTTAGGCTGTATTGTAGGTATAAGGTATTTTGTTTCTGCATAAGGAAACTCATATTCATCCATTTTCACATGTTATCATTCACACAGTTTTCATTGGTTGTTTTGGTTTTAATTATATGCATTCACTGATTGAATCTTTAGACCACATTTGAAAACTAAATATGATTCTTGAATAATTTTATAAAAGATTTCCAATAATTATACCGAGGTTGGATGCTAGAAGTGAATTATTTTTTATCTATTGCATGCAGGAAATGTCCAAGCTGGTAAGAGGCAAGGCAATAAAGCACAAGTCCCAACCAGGGAATCAGCAGAAGGTATACAAAGGAGATCTAGTGACAGACCAGAATGCCCCACAGCATGTCCCATGATCTATAATCCTATATGCGCATATGATGGGGAAAAATATGTAACATTCCCAAGTCAGTGTGATATGACAGTACATGCTTGCAAGTAAGTTGGATTAAAGAATATTTATCTTACAAAATTTATATATCTCATGCATCAATTCTTTCAATACTAATTTTAATGGTTCAACTTTTGTTCAAAATTTCAAATGTAGCAATACCTGTCAAATCTGCCCAATAGACAAGGTGCGAGTAGAAATAATCTTGATTTACGTCATTAAATAATCAAAATTCAGTCAAAGTGATGTCATATTTAAAACCTGCATGTAAAAGTACATCTAGAAATATGGTTTCGAAAATTGTTTATCAACTTTGAAAATTTATTTTTTTTGAAAATGTGACTTCTTGTTCGGGTTGATTCTCCATAGACCCCATGATACAAAATCACAAAAAGTGAAATATCTTTTCTTGTATTGGATAGATAACCTTTTCTTTTACTGGACATATTTCAGTTTGCATAACTATTAGATACATAAGGGTTATATGAAAATTTAATCATTAAAACAGATGTGATTTAAGTTTAAGGGAACTTTCTCCTATACCCACCATGCTATCTGACCCGAACGAGCCACCTGGTGGTGAATCTGGTAACTACCTACTCGCATCTGCGTTATTCTATTGGGATTGTCAAAAAGTGTTTGATTATGCAGGTTTCCACATATAAAGGTATTTCAAAGTGTTTACAATGAGAGTTTTTCAAATAAGAGAATCGATCAAATGCAATTGTTCTTATAAATTATCTCTGTTTTTCCAGAACTGGCAAATTGGTGACACCACAGTTTAGAGGACCTTGTGAGGAGAGAGAATTATAACACCACAGTTCAAGTTAGAAAGAACATTTTGAAATTATATGTAAAAAGCACTAAAATTAGAAGAATAAATAAAAATGTATAAATATACAGGGTGTCAAATAAGTCTGTTCTCCCCCCTAAACTTTTTTAATTCAGAGAAAACATAGGGTCGGTAAATATCATCTTAAAGGGAATTTAATTTGCTGATCACACACCAAATCTCAGAGTGTTTGGTTAAATTCCAAATCTTTTAGAGTATTTTTAGTGATGTCCATATTTCACTTTTTTTAATAGTCTGTATGTCTCCCCCAGCAGCCCGGATGGCCTCAATTCTACAAGGATATGATCTTGTATAAATCATTCAGAAAGTTTAATTTTAGGTGTTATCGACTATTTTGTGATGAAAGATGCCCCTGCTTCAAAGGTTCCCCTAAATGTAACACGTTTTTCTCTGTAATGATATTAAGAAACATCGAAATCACCCAATGCTGGCATTGTCACTGCAGTATCAACTTTTCACTTTTCATTCACTATTACCTGGTAATTTTACTTGTTTTGACGTAATCAAAGGTCAATTACAACCTTACAAGAACCATTGTAGCATTTTCATTGGAAGGAGTTTATGATTGTTTTTTTGAGGGTGATCAGCATTCTCCATGAGCTTCAAAATGATATATAGGAAAGTATGATAAATTTAAACTAAAAAAGTTAAGGGGGGAGAACAGACTTATTTGAAACCCTGTATAATCATTTTTTAGATTAAAACAAATAACAAAAATATATACACAGAGGTAAACACCTTGGGTAAAAATAAAAGCAAATTTTATGAGATCCTTTTTGAGGATCCTTTTTGTCATCAGTCAAATAGATTCAAGATCATATAACCATGTGATTTACATAACATAAGCTTTTGGAATTCGATACTGCACACTGTAAAACAATCTGGTTGTGAGTTTGTATCATCTATTAGAGTTCATAGTTTTCAAACAATATTTCTAAAGCCTTACCCTCACGTAACTGTTTTTCTATAGATTTGACATCATTTGTCTCTTGTGCTATATGATTCAACATATCTTCAAGTTGTGCTTGGAGCTCTGTGTAATCTTGAGTTCTTGTGTCTATTTGATGTTGTTTGTCTGACATTTCTTCTCTCATCACTCGCTAGAAAAATTCGAAAACAACTTATCGAAACCGGCCATAGTTTTCTCCGAATGAGCATTGTGAATTATTGTGTTTTATGGATTATGGCGACCGCTTTTGTGGATGGATGTTGACCCTTTGAAACGCCTATGGACTTGGAGACTGGATTTTATCTATCCCACATCATTTGAGACTGAATGCCCTATCTTGTATGAGAACTTGTATCTACAACTATTTTTGAGGTTATGAGTATTGGCTATCAATTTCTAATTTTTTCTTCAACATGTATTGTAATGACTTCAGTATGAATGAAATGTCCCTTGGTCTTCAGGTCTTGGATTGTGATATTGGTTCTTGAATGGTGGGGGAAAGGGGGTATTAGACATTGTTTCTTTTCACGTTAGATCATAGTTTTGGGATATATGGGGTTTGTTTTTCTTGACTGGAATGCACTTAGAGTTTGCTTTTTCTTGCTAAGTTCCATTACAACTTTTGGTCCTTTCCCTTTGGCACTAGTGCTTATATATTTATTCCATATATACTAATTTGCCCATGGAAATAATAAATGAACTAATTGTATTGAAGTGAATTGCCCTTGGAATAAAACCACTTTTCTATGCCTCCTAGTGAATAAGCAATATAAATTTACAAATGTGATCTTGAGCTTTTTTGGATTCTAATGTGTCGGTTTGATGTTTTTACTTGCTCCACTTTTTGGACCACCCTGTAGAAAAAATTAAGGCAATGACACACTGGATCTTTACATCAGCTTATTACTGATGAATTTATAATTAAAACATGACACAGTGTGAACAGAATCGCACCCTTGAATAAAATAGACAGTTTTTGGAACAGAAAATCCAAAATGACCCTAAAATTTACCCAGACTGCCCAAAAACTAATCAGTTCTAAACTTTTATACATAGAAACATTCCTAAAAATTTCAGATGAATCCATAATAACCTGTAGACAAGCCTTAACAGACAACATTTTAGAACAGAAAATCCAAAATGGCTGCCTTAACATTTACTCAGAATGCCCCAAGACTAAATAGAAAACGGCAACTCCACAGAGTAGCAAATCCCAGCGAACACTTCAACATGTATTGTAATGACTTCAGTATGATGGTTCTTGAATGGTGGGGGAAAGGGGGTATTAGACATTGTTTCTTTTCACGTTAGATCATGGTTTTGGGCTATATGGGGTCTGTTTTTCTAGACTGGTATGCACTTAGAGTTTGCTTTTTCTTGCTAAGTTCCATTACAACTTTTCGTCCTTTCCCTTTGGCACTTGTGCTTATATAATTAACATATATGAATCTGTATTTGTCACAAAAAATATAAACATTGGAAACAATAGATATATCAGAATTTCTACCAATTTTTGGGTTACCATTTGTGTGACCATTTAAAGGCACAAATAATAGGGACAATTTGAATTTTCTGAGGCACAAATCAGAAAAACAATACAAAAATAGTGATCTGCCCTAAATTTCCTTCCATTTGAGAATAAAATAGCCATACTTTGAAGAGATCAGAAATTTACTGCAAAATTCCATATAAGGCACGGCCATTTTGAATTTTACAAGGCCCATATTACAACAATACAATATTTGCAGTCTACTCTTAATTGCATTTCATTTGAGGATAATAAAGCTATATATATAGATAAGCTATATATGTAAGCCTCAACATTAACCCAGAATGCCAAAAAACTAATCAGTTCTAAACTTTCATACATAGAAACATCCCTGAAAATTTCAGATGAATCACTATAACAGTTTGGCTGAAAACCTGTAGACAAGTCATGACTGATAGGATTTTAGGACTGAAATCCAAAATGGCTGCCTAACATTTACCCAGAGTTCCCCAAAACTAATAATCAGTTCTAAACTTGTGTAGGTCGAAACATCCCTGAAAATTTCAGATAAATCCCTCAAACTACGGCCACCCGCTCGACCAACAGATTGCCTGCCCACCCAACTGATCACAATATAGCACCCAAGTGTGCAATAAAAACATGCATAATGTTTCATTTAGATTCACTTACATAAAGGGACCCCTGACTGTCAGTTCTCTGCATGCGACCTCTCAGTTCAGCCACATCAGCTTTATTTTGTTGAATGTCTCCCTGGGCTGTCAGCATTCCCTCTTCTATCTGGGCAGAGTTGTCTTGCAGAGTACTGATCTAAAAGCAGGAATCAAAATTATAAATTTAACATCAAAGCAGGCAATGTAATGTGACTTTTAAATTAGTTATTGTGACCCATGAAGCTATTCTTTAATACTTATACAAGTAGTATTAAATGTAACTAAATGTAGCAATGTGTCTCTTACCATTTGCATTTTTGATGCAAGTGTGTTCCTAAGCTCTCCTTTATCAGTTTCTGCTAGAGGAACTCTCCTGGGAGAGAGGTTGGAAAGTTTCTGGAGCTCTTCAGTAGCTTGAATGAGTTGTGATTGGGTGCCTTCTAGCTCACCTTGTAGCTTGGCCAGCTTCTCTTGGGCTAAAGTACAAGAAGATCAAAAAACTGATATGAATTGGATCATTTAATACAGATCACCAACTTACATAAAACAGGGAACATTAAAGGGTCATACCATTAGAAACAGATCCTACAACGAAGATTAAAATGGGTTAAGTGGAGACTTCAATACGATATTGTAAATCTTTTTCTTTCACATTATGAATGCAGATATACTAAGCCTCAATACAAGTATATCAAATTTCACAACTGTTTTGTTACCTCTCTCTATACTTCTGTATTTATCAGCCAACTCTGCATCCATTGTTTGTTTCAATGTCTCACGTACATCAGGGTGGATGGGAGATGTCTTACATGAAAAAAATGTTTTAATATTATGTGCATCAACAATGTTACAAAACAAATTCTATTTGCCTGGAAATGGTTAAAAATGTAATAAGAATTGTTGATAAAGATGACCATAACTAACCACCAACTGCTGATTGCAATGTGTAAGTCATAAAAATTATGGCACCATTTCTTGGTGGTCACACATAGTAAAGTGCCTCATTTTGACAAGTTCAAAATGAAATGCAATAACAGTGAATTTTTGTAAAATCATTGGGATTTACTTGATCCTCATATTCTTTAAATAAGGCATTTCTACAGGGTGGGCAATAAAAAAAGGACATTGCATCGTTCTTAAAGATTACTTAAGATCACATGAATAAACCGTGTGTAGCAATACCACAAGATGTCATTATATATATTTCAAATTTTTGAATGTTGATGATAATTTGACTTTGTGATGTCATGATTTACTAAAAACAGATTTTGTTAATTAAAAATGAAGAAATCTGAAAAAGAAGTGTTTTATGTCAACCTTTTTCAGCAATAATAGCCCTCAATCTATAAAAAATTCAGAATTTATAATATTCATGCTTTTTTAGACCTTCGCTACTATTCATAAGTTATTTTATCTTCAATATGTTTTAATTAATTGAAGATAAACCAGTATATTTTCTTGAAAAAGTCCCATTTTAGAACCCAAAACCCTGATTTTTAGGCTTTTTCCAGAATTCTCATGATGTGTCAGATAAATTCCCCAAATACAGGGTGTCAAATAAGTCCTGTCCCCCCTGCTACAGCTAAAACCTTAACAGACGGTGCCTAGTGTGATATACCATTGGAAAGATCATCCAAAGTTATGTTCACTGGCCAACTCTCAAGTATTTTTGTTGAAATTTACCTATATTTTTATGATGTTTTTTATAGTTAATGTTGCCTCCTTTAAGTAGCTTTTTTGCATCAAAATGACAAGAATATGACCTCAGAAATACATCAAAAAGTTTATCTTTTTCGCATTCCACTTGTAACAAAAAGGTTTTCACCACTTTCCTTGCACCTCTATTTTCTACACATCTAACCCTATCCAGAAATTGGTTAAATTCATCGCCATAAACATATTTAGTCATATTTTGGTCCCTTGACTTTTCTTATACCCGATTCTTAAAATCCTGCCAAATACACCAGATTGCCATTTTTCTAGGCATATGGTCACATCAATTAATACGATGTCAAAATTTGTGAGATTGATTGACACGTGTCAGATATATGCCAATCAACGTAACTTTGGAAGACCTTTCAAATGATATATCACACTTGGTACCAAATATCTTGGTTTTGGCTGTAGAGGGGGGACGGGACTTATTTGACACCCTGTACATTCAAAAAGTAGCAATATTACAAGAACACAAATGTGTACAAAATGTCCCCACCAAGTGGTGATCCCGTGAAATGGTTATCCTGAAAATGAGTAGACAAGACTTTACCAACACAATTTGAGGACGGAAAATCCAAAGTGGCCACCTTGAAATTGATCCGTCACACAGTTAACCAGAAAACATGTAAACAAGACTTTACAGACAAGATTTCAGGATGGAAAATCCAAAATGGCTGCCTTGACATTTACCAAGAATGTCAAAAAACTAATCTGTTTGTAGATTTTCATACTAAGAATCATCCCTGAAAATATGAAATTGATCTACCAAACGGTTCACCTGAAAACGGGTAGACAAGACTTTACAGACAAGATTTTAGGACAGAAAATCCAAAATGGCTGCCTTAACATTTACGCAGAATGCAAAAAAAGTAATCAGATGTAGATTTTCATACAAAGAATCATCCCCGAAAATTTGAAATTGATCTATCAAACCATTCACCTAAAAACGCGTAGACAAGACTTTACAGGCAAGATTTTAAGACGGAAAATCCAAAATGGCTGCCTTGACATTTACCCAGAATGCCAAAAAACTAATCAGTTCTAGATTTTCATACTAAGAATCAGTCCTGAAAATTTGAAATTGATCTACCAAACAGTTCACCTGAAAACGAGTAGACAAGACTTTACAGACAAGATTTTAGGACGGAAAATCCAAAATGGATGCCTTGACATTTACCCAGAATGCCAAAAAACTAATGAGATCTAGATTTTTATACTAAGAATCATCCCTGAAAATTTGAAATTGATCCACCAAACGATTCACCTGAAAATGCGCAGACAAGACTTCACAGACAAGATTTTAGGACCGAAAAATCCAAAATGGCCGACAATAAAAAAGTCCTGATGAGTTTTTGCTGATTTCTTTTTACAAAATTATCACATATAACTACTGTTAACAATAAAGTAGGCTTTTACAGCAAAGTACATCTGAAATTATTTATAAAGCTACTAAATAGTTAAAGTATGAAAACTCAAAAACACCATTCAATATGATACAAAGTATTATCGCACGCTAACTTTTCTTAAGACATTCAAAATGGCTGACATGACTGAGCTAGCAGGTCCAAAACCTAATCAGATCTAGAATGAAGTGAGCTGAACAAGATGTTAAAGTTTTAAAAGCAACTGTGAAGCAGTTTTTCTTAAAGTTTGCAGACAAGGATTTTAGCATTTGACTTAAAAATGGCCGACAGGAAGTAGGTTTCGAGTTAAATTTTTTTCATCCACATCTATAGGCACTCATAAGTTATTCCTGAAAATTAGAAGGTGATACCTGTAGCGGTTTTGGAGAAAACTGCCGGACGTACGGACGGACAGACAGACAACCAGACAGACAGACAGACGGACGGACGGACGGACGGACGCGCCTAGGACGACAATATGGCCCCACACTATGTGGTGGGGACATAAAAAAAGCTGTTTTAAACATATAGAAGAGTACCAAGGCTACAAATAAAAATAAGGCATTAACATGACAAAATGTCACCACCTATTTACTCAGAATATTATGAGTTTGATCTTTGTATCTATTATAATAGCGCAGTCAGATGTCCCTTTGGTAGTTCGACTTTTTCAGGAAAGCAACAAACTTGGCACAGTTGTAGAAACATATGATCTGAATGAAAAATGATTTCGGGGCAAGTGATTCGGGGTGGTCTTCATGGATTGTAAGCCTCTGACCCCCACCCCTATCAGGCGGGGAGGGGGTACATTATAATAAAATAAATAAAAATAGTTGTAAAGTATATTTCTTTAAATGACTTCATTTGGTGATTGCTTTGAGCCTTGAAATTGAGAAAAAACTATTTTAGAAGTGGTGTTTAGGAAGGAAAATACATTTTAACCCAATTATCTAGCGTGAATTCATCTTTCAAAGGGTCAAATATGGGACATCAAGTACTGTATTTCAAGAATGTGATGTCTGATCATCCTGAAAAAATTCATACTAATAGAGATATAGGTGTTAATCACTCATATGATATATGGCTTGTGTAGCTCATGTAATTTTTGAGAAATAAATTATCGAAATATGGATATTTAAGCCCTTGCGGCCTAGGGGTGACCTTATTTTACCTTAATAATTTTTAAGATACGCAATGTTTGGGCCTCATATGAATTCTAAATGTTGCATTAAGTATTGTTTTGTCATATTATTCCTAATTAAATGTAAAAAAATTATTGGAAATTAAAAAAAAATCAAATTTTCATTTTCGGTTCTAAAGGGCCAGGGGTAACCATATTTTACCCTAATAATTTCCCAGATATGTAATATATGCATCTCAAATTAGCTCAAGATGTTGCATATAGTTCTGTTTCATCATACTTCTTCCAATAAGATGTAGAAAATGATCGGATATATCTAAAAAATCAAAATTTTCACTTAAGCTCTTGATGGCCCTGGGGTAACCTTATTTTACCTTAATAATTTTCTAAATATGAGACATAGTCACCTCAAATGAGCTTAAGATGGTATATTTAGTCCTGTTTTATCATATCATTCCCAAGGAGTGAAAAAATGATTGGAAATTATAAGAAAATGACATTTTCATATTACACCCCTAATCCGCAACATCTTCTTGCAGCGCTGTAAACAGTACTGAACAGTGCAGTCAGAGTACTGCACTATATAGCAATGTACAATGCTATTCTAACACCATCTGTTTTGGACAGCGTAGTACAGTACTGTTTTTACAGCTCAGTACTGTTTTAGAAAACAGCTGTGTGCAGTACTGTTTTTACAGCACTGTTTATGAAACAATGCTGTTTGATGCAGTTTGAGATTGGTAGTGTAGTTTATGATAGGTCAGGAATGACCTAATTTTACCTTAAAAATCTAAACAAAGATATATCATATTGTCTGCTCAAATGAGCTCAAAATAGTGAATATAGTCTAGTTTTGTCATATTATTGCTACTGAGATATACAATAATGATTAACAATTATAAAAAATGAACCTCAACAGCCATTTATTCCTTTTTAGTACCAATGGCAATACTATCTAGTTTTATAGAACATTTTCTAAGATATGAAAATGTTTGAAAAGTCCAGTTCATACTCGCACGAGTAGTAGCATTGTTAAGATTCTGTATATTATCATTTGAGTATATAATCCAAATCTATAAAACCTAATCAAAGGAGTCACAATTTATGGATTCTGACAGTCTCTCCTACAGCTACATAGCTCAGAGCAAATCAGATCTGCTTTCAAACATTTGCATCTGTTCTCTTGACACAGGTACATGTATCTACCCCATGACCTACATTTCATGTTGTGGCCTCAGTATCAGCAGTGGAAGTAGTCCAGCCACATTCATGTGGTGATAGAAACTGTGGGTAAGAATGCATCAGAATGAATAAGGACTCTAGTCTTCTAATTTTAGGGTATCAAAAAAGATTTAAAGCTTAAGAACACTTGCGTAACCTCTGGGTACACCTTCTATTCCTGCAAATCAGTTGACTAAGAGTAGTAGCAGAATGCATCTGGCGATTGTATGAAAAATGGTAAGGGCTAAACTTTGTTCATGGCCAAGTGGCCTTGAAATATCTAAGGCAGGTCGTACATACTGGAGGAATTTCCCCTCACCATAGGCCATATGCAATCCAAATTGACATTTTCAGCACAAGTTACTGCCAGTTTAAACCACATCAAAATCAACTGTATTGACTATGATTCTTATTAGGTCATGACAGAAGCAGTCTTTGGCATGCTTCTTCATACGAGCGAATGGTGATGGCAGATATTGCATTATTACCTCATTGTGAGGTCACTATCTTCTTGCCATCTTCCTCCAGGGTTTCAGTTTTGATGCCTGGAATGAAACAGCTCCCTCTTGTTCCAACTATCTTAGGAAATCTTGCCAATTCCACAGAAGAAAATTAGTAGGATATACTTTCCTCACTGTTCCAGTTTTGTGCTGTTTGTATCTATGCTCATTAACATCAAAGTTGAATGACTAAGCTACATAGTAGATGCCAAAATAATAGACAGGGCATGTATAGTTAAACATGCTAACAGTGAAATATAAAGAAAATTTGGTGATTATGCAAATATGATATTACCCACGTAAAAGTCTGCAAATAGTTCATTGCCTTGATGTCAGCTGGGATGTTTACAAGGACACTAGCTTAAAGGGGCAACAAGGTCTGTAGAAGATTCAATTTTTTTTACTTTTCTAAGCTATCAGGGCAATATTTGGCTTTGACATACCTATTTTCTTAAAATGTATGGATAAACTATCAATTTCAGCATTGAGAAGTCTAAATTCAGTTCAAAGCTTCTATAAAGGGAGTCCCACTTATAGGTTTTTAAGCCCATGAAAATTATTGTGATTACATTTGGCATTCTTGTGACCAATCATTGACTGTCATTATTCACTGACAGAATCCTTGACAGAAGCAGCTCACCTTAACCCCCCCCCCCCCATCAGGCTAAGGTGACTGGACTTACTACCCTTTGCATTCATTCGACTTTCCTTCTCAAAAGAGAGCTTCGTCTTCACTCTATCAGTTTTCAATGAATCTCTGAACTCACTGCGCTAATCAGAGTTTGTTGTCGAAATAAGGACGGCTTTCTATATGGTCATTTTCTCTGACAAAATTGCATCATTAATGTGCACGCATTTACCACTTGTTCCTTCAAGCTCACTGATTGGTTGAGAATAGGTCAGCATGGTTTATTGCAGCTTGGGTCATAAATGCTTTAAGACCCAAGCTGCCAATGGCATCGGTCATGGGGATGGGGCTGCTAAACTCACTCCATCCTTTGCTTCTATATTATGGTAATATATGATAAAATCACCCCTGACCTGTCAAAAGTTAAAAATGTCATTTTTCAAATTTCCATTATTTCTTACATCTCCTAAGGAATAATATGACAAAACAAGAGTATATGACACAATTCTAAGCTCATTTGAGATGCATACGTCTCATAATTAAAAAAAGTTCAAGGTTAAATAAGCCCCCCCCCCCAGGCCATCATAAGCTAAAATGAAAATTTCAAATTTTAAGAAATGTCCAATCATTTTCTACATCTTATTGGAGGTATTATGATTAAACAGAACTATATGCACCATCTTGAGCTAATTTGGGATACATATATTACAAACCTTGAAAGTTATTAAGGTAAAATATGGTTACCCCTGGCCCTTCAGAAGCGATAATGAAATTTTTTTTTTTTGGAAAAGTTCCAATCATTTTTCAATCCAATTAGGAATAATATGACAAAACAAGACTCAATGCACCATTTTGAGCTCATATGAGACCCATATATTGCATATCTTAAAAATTATTAAGGTAGAATAAGGTTACCCCTAAGCCGCAAGGGCTTAAAAATTCAAATTTCGATAATTTTTATCTCAAAAAATACATAACCTACCTAAGCCATATTCTATATTTGTGATGAACACTTATACCCCTATTAGTATGAATTTTTCCAAGATGATCAGACATCACATTCTTGAAATACAGTACTTGATGTCCCATATTTGACCCTTTAAAAGATGAATTCACGCTAGATAATTGGGTCAAAATGCATTTTCCACACTAAACACCACATCTACAATAAGTTTGTCTCAATTTCAAGGCTCAGAGCAATCATCAAATGAAGTCATTTAAAAAAATTTACTTCACAACCATTTTTATTTATTTTTTATAATGTACCCCCTCCCCGCCTGATAGGGGTTGGGGTCAGAGACTAAAAAATCCATGAAGACCACTCCGGATCACTTGCCCCGAAATCATTTTCCACTCAGATCAAGTGTTTCTACAACTGTGCCAAGTTTGTTGCTTTCCTGAAAAAGTCGAACTATGAAGGGCTCATTTCTGGACATCTGACTGCGCTATAAGATATTCATATGCATATAATGTGAATAACACCATTGAAATCGTCTAGTTATGATCTAAATAGTGGTGAACTAATTGTTTGTGAAAAACATGCGAAACACGCGAAAACATGCAGAGAACAATGGAAATGACATCTTGGATCTCCTGCTGCATACATTAAGTACTAAACTCTACCTGAGGTGACTGTATGGAGAGTGATCTATTAACTGCCCTTCCTCCCTCTGCACCCTCTGCCTGTCTCCCACTGGACTCAAGATAACTTGCACCTGGAAATAAAATAAAATAATAAAAATAGAATAATTTAATGAATATTCAATTTTGATATAATTTATATCTTTTATTGACTCTTTAGATGTCATATCATGACATATTAGTCACTTAGGTAAAGCAGTTCTTCCCATTGTCGAGTTGAAGAAATGGTATCTTTATCCTGGCTAGAACCATAGACAATTCTAGCCAGCGCCAGCCTTTTATCGAGTTAGCAGCACTCTAGTAATCGCCGGTATAGGTCAGCAGTCATACGTCAAAGACAAATCACAAGAAGTGCTGTGACCTGGGTTTGAACCCAAGACCTCTACTTTTCAGCCTGAAGCCAGACTTCCTGCTTTTCAGACCAATGCCTTAACCACTAGGCCAACCCGGCGACCACTTTAAAGTAAGATAAAAGTAAAAATGAGAGGTATGTTGGTGTTACTTGATGACTATTACATTGCTTTCCTTATGACAGGCTGCGAGCATACGTGTTATTTTTCTGGCTGTGTTTTGTACTATTTGGTATTACAGGGTGTCAATTTTTACCCAAACCCCCAAAAAAGCCAATACCGGGGAAAGTACCCTAACAAACTATATAAAAAAAGCTTATCAATATTACAATAAGATATTACATTTGCTTTAAATCCTTTAAAGGTAGGTCTTAACATCGAGTATTTGCATAGATACACATATCTTTTAAATATGCTCCATATATTTGTCAGGATTGATAAGCAAATAGGCAGAGAAAAAAGGTGGGAAATTATGGGTACTAGATTAGATTAGACTAGTGTGGTTAGATGCCTTAAAAAAGAATATGATGGAAAATTGTGTGATTTCAATGATATTGTATATGTTAATGTAACTGCTTTCAAATGTTTTTCAATGAATAAAAAAGGAATAAAAAAAGCTCATTTTATTCTGAATGAGTGAACTGAACTGAACCTGTGGATACAACAATATGGACTACATTATACTACTCTCTGAACTTGATTTCAGTAACAACAATTACTGAGCATGAAGTGTATGTTTCAACTTAGTGTTTCTCAGATTGTTATTTTCAAACATAAACTAGACAAACAAATGTAGTAGCTTTAAACAATGTGAAATATGAATATGTACTTAATATGCGAATATAATGCAGCCATGAAGTAATAATAAATTATTGGTAGATAAAAAACATCTGAAGTGCAGTATTACGGAAAGACCATATTTCAAACATAACTGTCTTATCTACACACGTTGGCAGATACATCTGAGTAGAACTACAAATTTTTAAGTATTATACAAACATAAGATTGTTTGTTCAACACTTAACTTTGTTATCTGACATGTAAAACACATGATCAAAAGCTAAACATACAAGTTGTGTCAAGTTTCATGTCTCTTTGATAAGTTTATTTATAAGTACTACCAGCCTTCTAACTAGTAAGGTTAATTGCATCCAGTGTTGATTTATACTTTGGTACATTCTTAACACAGTATGTTGAATAGGATGTTTGGGATGGCAACATTCCCTATATAAAAACAATTAAAATGGCTGATTATACAGATCAGGTAGAGAGGGACATTAAAGATGCAATTGATAGGAAAGATGAACATCAGCTGAGGTTGATCCTCAAGAGAACAAGAAGATGCCATAAAAACACAATTGTCTGGGCATTAGAGAAAAATGAGAACCTGAGTAAAGAGACATTAGATTTATTGTTAGAAAAAGGGGCAGATGTTAATGCTTTTGACAATGATTGGACTGCATTGATGCGAGGTTGTGATTCTGGCTCTCTGGAATATACACAGTGGTTAACAGAGCATGGAGCAGATGTCAATGCTAAGGATAATAATGGTTGGACTGCATTGATGTATGCGTGTGAGTCTGGCTCTCTGGAATGTACAAAGTGGTTAACAGAGCATGGAGCAGATGTCAATGTCAAACACAAAGATGGCAAAACTGAACTGATGATTGCTATTGAGAAGAGGTCTCTGGAATGGATAAAGATGTTCACAGACCATGGAGCAGATGTCAATGCTAAGGACAATAATGGTTTGACTGCATTGATGTATGCGTGTGAGTCAGGCTCTCTGGAACGTACAAAGTGGTTAGCAGAGCATGGAGCAGATGTCAATGCTAAGGATAATAATGGTTGGACTGCATTGATGTATGCGTGTGAGTCTGGCTCTCTGGAATGTACAAAGTGGTTAACAGAGCATGGAGCAGATGTCAATGTCAAACACAAAGATGGCAAAACTGAACTGATGATTGCTATTGAAAAGAGGTCTCTGGAATGTACACAGTGGTTAACAGAGCATGGTGCAGATCTCAATGTTAAGGACAATAATGGTTGGACTGCATTGATGTATGTGTGTCAGTCTGGCTCTCTGGAATGTACACTTTGGTTAGCAGATCATGGTGCAGATGTCAACGTCAAACACAAAGATGGCAAAACTGAACTGATGATTGCTATTGAGAAGAGGTATCTGGAATGGATAAAGATATTTACAGACCACAGTGCAGATATCAATGCTAAGGACAATAATGGTTGGACTGCATTGATGTTTGCTTGTAGGTCTGGGTTTTGGGAACGTACAAAGTGGTTAACAGAGCATGGAGCAGATGTCAATGCTAAGGACAATGATGGTTGGACTGCATTGATGTATTCTTCTAAGTCTGGCTCTCTGGAATGTACAAAGTGGTTAACAGAGCATGGAGCAGATGTCAATGCTAAGGACAATGATGGTTGGACTGCATTGATGTATTCTTCTAAGTCTGGCTCTCTGGAATGTACAAAGTGGTTAGCAGAGCATGGAGCAGATGTCAATGTCAAACACAAAGATGGTAAAACTGAACTGATGATTGCTATTAAGAAGAAGAGGTCTCTGGAATGGATAAAGATGTTCACAGACCATGGTGCAGATGTCAATACCATAAGCACTGATGGTCAAACTGCACTGATGCGTGCTTGTATGGATGGATCTCTAGAATTTACAAAATGGTTAACAGAGCATGGTGCAGATGTCAATGCTATGACCTATGATGGTTGGACTGCATCGATGTATGCCTGTATGTCTGACTCTCTGGAATGTACACAGTGGTTAGCAGAGCATGGAGCAGATGTCAATGTCAAACACAAAGATGGCAAAACTGAACTGATGATTGCTATCGAGAAGAAGAGGTCTCTGGAATGGATAAAGATGTTCACAGACCATGGAGCAGATGTCAATGCTAAGGACAATAATGGTTTGACTGCATTGATGTATGCTTGTGATTCTGACTCTCTGGAATGTACTCAGTGGTTAACAGAGCATGGTGCAGATGTCAATGTCAAACACAAAGATGGCAAAACTGAACTGATGATTGCTATTGAGAAGAGGTCTCTGGAATGGATAAAGATGTTCACAGACCATGGTGCAGATGTCAATACCATAAGCACTGATGGTCAAACTGCACTGATGCGTGCTTGTATGGATGGATCTCTAGAATTTACAAAGTTGTTAACTGATCATGATTCAGATGTCAAGGCAAAGGACAATAATGGTCGAACTGCATTAATGTTTGCTTGCAAGTCTGGCTCTCTGGAATGTACAAAGTTTTTAACACAGCACGGTGCAGATGTCAATGAAATGAACAATGCTGGTTGGACTGCATTGATGTTTGCCTGTGAATCTAGATCTCTGAAATGTACACAGTGGTTAACAGAGCATGGTGCAGATGTCAATGCTAGGAACAAGTATGGTTGGTCTGCTTTGATGTATTCTTCAAAAAATGGGTCTCTGGAATGCACAAAGTGGTTAAAAGATCATGGTGCAGATGTCAATGCTAGGAACAAGCATGATAGGTCTGCATTGATGTACGCTAGTAAGTCTGGCTCTCTGGAATTAACACAGTGGTTAGCGGCAAATTGTGCTGATGTCAATGCTAGGGACAATGAATGTTTGACTGCATTGATGTATGCTTGTCAGTCTGGCTCTCTGAAATGTACACAGTGGTTAAAAGAGCATGGTGCAGATGTCAATGCTAAGGATAATGATGGTTGGACTGCATTGATGTATGCTTGTGAGTCTGGCTCTCTGGAATGTACAAAGTGGTTAGCAGAGCATGGTGCAGATGTCAATGCTATGACCTATGCTGGTTGGACTGCATTGATGTGTGCCTGTAAGTCTGGCTCTCTGGAATGTACAAAGTGGTTAGCAGAGCATGGAGCAGATGTCAATGTCAAACACAAAGATGGTAAAACTGGACTGATGATTGCTATCGAGAAGAAGAGGTCTCTGGAATGGATGAAGATGTTTATGGAACATGGTGCAGATGTCAATGTCAAATACAAAGATTGTACAACTGAACTGATGATTGCTATTGCGGAGAGGTCTCTGAAATGGATAAAGATGTTTACAGAACATGGTGCAGATGTCAATACCATAAGCACTGATGGTAAAACAGCGTTGATGCGTGCTTGTGAGTCTGGCTCTCTGGAATTAACACAGTGGTTAACAGAGCATGTTGCTGATGTAAATACTAATGACAGTCATGGTTGGACTGCATTGATGTATGCTTCTGAGTCTGGCTCTCTGGAATGTGCACAGTGGTTAACAGCGCATGGTGCAGATGTCAATGTCAAACATAAAGATGGTAAAACTGAACTAATGATTGCCATTGAGAAGAAGAGGTCTCTGGAATGGATAAAGATGTTCACAGACCATGGAGCAGATGTCAGTGCTAAGGACAATAATGGTTGGACTGCATTGATGTTTGCTTGTAGGTCTGGGTCTTGGGAACGTACAAAGTGGTTAGCAGAGCATGGAGCAGATGTCAATGTCAAACACAAAGATGGTAAAACTGAACTGATGATTGCTATTGAGAAGAGGTCTCTGGAATGGATAAAGATGTTAACAGAGCATGGTGCAGATATCAATGCTGCTACTAAATCAGGCCACACAGCACTCTCACACATTGATAGATTCACCCCTGAACATAGAAAACAATACAGCCTATTGACCAGACTAGGTGCTAAAGATGATAACTACAAACATCTCATGTCACTGAACCAGAATGCAACAGATGATCATCAACATATAGCTAGAACAAAGCTAGATGCAATAAAAGCCAAATGGAATCTGAGTTTAAAGTGTCAGGCAAGGTGGTGTCTTTATCAAATGAGTGTATTAAATGGTTTTTCATACAGAAATGCAATTAAGAGGTTGATTCATGACAGACATAAACTCCCAGAATTAGAGACATTCCTATTGTTTGAAAACACTGATGACATTTGTGAGATGACAGCTATACTACGAGAACTGCATGCCAGCCATGAGGTTGAGAGAGCACTGATCAAATACAGAACAGAACAAATGAGCTCAGAAAATATAGCACTGAGGAAACCATTTGAGAAACTAGAACCACATCATAGGAAACTACTAAAATGGTAAATATAATACACATGGCAATCGTCAATAAGGCTGCTTATCCCCCCCCTCCCAAAGATGGCACATATTTTGTACATCAGTTTAAAGCTATTTGGATAAAATTGAATGAATTTGTTGGACTCATGGTTTCTCACATTAATCAATCAAACATTAACACAGTATCATATAATAATGACCTAACATTATCTTAATATTAATCTAATATCAGTCCTGATATCTACCTAATATCACCCAAGTGTTCCGAATGCAATAACAATCAAATATCCCCCCATATCAACCAAATATTAGTTGATTATTATTGCAATAATCACCCAATGTTGGCTAATGTTATCCTAGCATCATTCTGATATGACAGCCCAAATATCTACAAATTACAATTTATGCAATATCATCATAATAACGACCAGATAGAACCCATATATTGCTCTAATATTATCCCAATATCACTCCAATATCAGCCACAAAGTCTACCAAATATCAAAAATATTCTCAATGCAACATGACCACAATAACGACGTAATAGAACCCCTATATTGATCTAATATTATCGCAATACACTCCAATATCAGCCTTGATATCAACCCAAATCATCATGAATGGAATATCAATGACAATACCCTCTTCCAATATCAGCCCAAAATGATCCCAATATTGGCCTCATATTAAATCATCCAATATTATCCCAATATCAATCTAATATCAACTGAATAATGACATAATATTATCACAATATCACTGCAAGTTCAATGTCCATATCAGCCCAAGAGAACTCAAATGTATTCTGAATGTAATGTTACCCATCAATCATCCAGTTCACCTGTATATCATTGTCATTTGAAGAATGTAATTTTCTTAAAATTGTATGTTGGATGTACGTTTGTCCCTAAAAAGGCATCAGTGCAAATAATTCCTATTAGAGAGATTTCGCACATAAGTGAAAGTACAACTTATACGTATACGTATAGTTTAAAGGGTCATGTCGAACTATTATCCCTTAAGAAAAAAGCCATGGTAACCATGGTATTCCATGGTATGTCCATGGTAATCCATGGTTTTCCATGGAAATTCATGGTTTTTCATGGTATTTTCCATGGAAATTCATGGACACCCATGGCAATCTTCCATGGATATTTATCATGATTTTCCATGGTAATTAGTGGTTTGGTAATTGTTTTTTCATGGACGTGTCATGGTTTTTACTAGGACACACAGAGATCCAAGTTGGACTGAGACTTATCAGTGAGAAAAAAGGGTGGACATTTCATGTTATTTCAGGTTTAGTAGGAACATATTAAACTCAGCTTCCTTACAAATATGTAAAAATTATGTAACTTCTCTAAAAAGAAATATGATAATGCAGTTAATGCAGCACTGAGAAGCCCACAAGATTTCAATGAGAAATATGTATAGGGCTTTTGTGTAGATCAAGACTAGATACAGACAGAGATTCCTTATTTTTTAGGCCAAACACTTCTAGTCTTTTGGAAAGATTAAGTTAAACTAGCCCTACCTCTGTTTTGTTTTCTTATTGTTTCTTTAATATTCAGTCATGAAAATTAAAATTAAATAATTTCAAAAATAAATATCTCTTTTCCTTAAATTACATTCTTACATTTTAGAATGCAATAAAAAACATGGTTTCTTTCTTTGAAGTTGAGGAAACTGCAATCAAAAGCCATGGAAGTCGGTTGATTGCAATCGAAAGCCATGCTTTTCCATGGTTATTTCTTTGATGTTTTGGAAAGTGCAATCAAAAGCCATGCTTTTCCATGGATATTTCTTTGATGTTTTGGAAAGTGCAATCAAAAGCCATGGTTTTCCATGGTTATTCTTTTGATCTTTTGAAAAAACCATGGTTTTCCATGACTATTTGTTTGGTCTCTTTGGATGTAGAAAGAATAATGCATAATGAACATTGAACTTTTCCAAATAAAGTCTCATTTAACCTTTATGAGCACATTGTCTGAAAAATCCATATACTTTTTAGAATTTTGAATTGAAATTAAGGTGGGGGATTAAACACAAGCCTATGACTGCCAACTGAAATGTAATGCCTAAGTGATCAAAAATCTATTTGTCTATGTACTAAGGTTATTATAATTATGTAATCTATTTAAAAAGAAGTCATAATCATTTGCATAATTTTAAAATATTTGGTTGTCATTGTTCTATGTTAATTAATAGGTTTCTTAACTCTGAAATTAGTGTTAAAATTTCTCTTTGCAACAGATTATATAGTTGATTTGCATAATTCTAAAATACATGTATTATGATCTTAATTGTTATTATTTATGATGAGTGCTTCCTTTTCAGTAATTATAATTGTCTGTGAGTGTAGACAGAGCAAGTCAAAAACTGGTAAATACAAAAACTGCCAAAATTGTTGATTTTACAACTCCAAGTCACTTAGTATCATGGTAAAAACATGGCATTCCATGAAAAACCAATTACCAAACCACTCATTACCATGGAAGATCATGGTTAATATCCATGGAAGATTACCATGGACGTCCATGAAATTACATGGAAAATACCATGAAAAACCATGAATTTACATTACTCTAAGAGCGAGGAGGAAAATTCTTAATAAATGGAGTATAGTTGGTTTGGCAGCATTTTCAGATAGGGGGAAGTCTTGCATGAAAATTCTACCTAGGTGATAGCTTCACAGAGTGGTACATAATTCTTTTTTTTCAGGGGTTAGCCCCCCACCCCCCCAAAAACACCCAACCCCGGTAAAATAATTTTTTCATTCTCAATAACTTTAGATATCTTGATGTTTGTAAGTTACATACATAGACATTATATATATGAATCATTTGAAAAATAAATAATGCCAATGACTCCTACAGAATTTGAATAATAGTACAAAGTGTGTACCCTAGGGGGCAAATTCGTGACCCATTTTCTTACTATTTAGAGCCTCACTTTTCAATTAGACACTGGAAGACATTGGAAAAATTCATGTGAAGTGCCCAATAGCAGGCCTATGAGCCCTGAAAGGTTCAAACTAATTGAATCAGTAGGAGCCAAGAAAAAAATTGTTTTTTTTTGAAAATTTTGACATTTTTGAGATGGGTGATTTTGTGTATGACTATAGCTGATGCTTATAGTTTCTAGATCCATCCCTCTTTGATGTTAAATATGGTTTTAAAGTGTAGAACTAAGATGTAAAAAATAATTAAAATGGGTTTTAAGGAAGTTTAAAGTTTTAAATAAGTCCAAAATTTGAAGAATTGTACAATATCAGGTCTGAATTTATGAATTTCAGGTATGACCTTGGATGAGCCTTATGTTTTTTATATCTGTCCCTCTTTGATGATATTTATGGTTTTTTAGTAACAAACTAAGCTGTAAAATATAATTCAGATGGATTTTAAGAGGGTTTAAGGATTTTAACAAGTCAAAATTTGAAGAATTGTACTATATAAGGTCTGAATTTATGAATTTCAGGTAAGACCTTGGGTAAGCCTTATATTTTCTACATCAGTCCCTCTTTGATGATATGTATTGTTTTGTAGTGTGGCACTAGGATTTAAAAAAAACAATTAAGATGGATTTTAAGAAGGTTTTAGGATTTTCACAAGTTTAAAATTTGAAAAATTGTACAATATTAACACATTTCAAGTATAACCTTGGTTGGTTCTCATGTTTTTTACACCTATCCCTTTTTTCATATTTGGTTTAGTAGTGTTGAAATAATATGTATAACATAATTTGGATGGGTTTTAAAAAAACTAAAAGTTTTAAACAAGTTCAAAATCTTGGCGAATTGTAACAATATCAGATCTGAAATTAACAGATTTCAAGTATAACCTTTGTTGGCCCTTATGTTTTTAACATCCCTTTTTGATGATATATATGGTTTAGCAGTGTGGAACTAAAAGGTAAAACATAATTAAAATGGGTTTTAAGGAGGTTTAAGGTTTTAAACAAGTTCAAAACTTGACAAATTGTACAATATGAGACCTGAAATAAACAAATTTCAGGTATAGCTTTAGATGAGCCTAATGTTTTTTTACATATATCTCTCTTTGACAATATGGTTTTGTAGTATGGAACTAAGAAGTAAAACATAATTTAGATGGGTTTTATAGAAGTTTTAAGTTCTAAAGAGGTTCAAAACTTGACAAATTGTACAATATCAGGTCTAAAATTAACAAATTTCAGGTATAGATTTGAATGATTTGATTTGAATAAACCTCTTTGATGATTTACATGGTTCTGTAGTGTAGGACTAAAATGTAAAACATAATTAAGGAATTTTGGGTTTTAAGGAAGTTTAGTCCTAATGTCTGCAGGGGAGGGGGGTCAAATTGACCTACCCCTCTGTTTTTTAAATGGTACTTTTTGCAAGTTTTTCTTGTGCCATCATTATTATTTTTAGCTTGAGCCACAGATAAATGACACCTTTTGGTGTAAAGATCAAGGTGATTGGGGGTAGAGGTGCAAAGTTATGATAGTCCGAAGTTGATCCCAATAAAAATGAAATTTATGAAATATTGATGGTTACCCTGTTTTTAATACTATAAAAAATGCAAACTGATGATAATTTCTAGATAATCATTTAGCAATAAGTAATAAATATAAACCTCCTTAAAAACCCCAAATTCCTAAATTATGTTTTACATTTTAGTTCCACACTACAAAACCATGTAAATCATCAAAGAGGTTAAGAATTTCAGACCTAATATTGTACAATTTGTTTTGTTTTGAACTTCTTGAAAACCTTAAAGAGAGAATCAGATCCAGCAAGCAGCCAAACAAAAAATTGTTTAAATTTTTGAATATTTCTGGCTTATGTCATTCCTTTTCATGTCTATTTGCTAAAAATCCCCACAGTGCACATTTTAGTGTAGGAAAACTAAAGATTTCTACAATAATGTATTATTTTTCCATAAGAATGGTTACCATTCTTATTATTTTGGGAGTATTTAAACACTTTTCCCCCATTTTTGCACTTTGAATCCATTATAACTTCACCGGTTTTAACACATCATGAA